TTTTTTTTTTTCTTCTTTCAGTCTTTATAGGTGTTGTCCCATTGTACTCTGGCCTCTATAATTTCAGATGAAAAGCATCAATCATTTGAATTATCATTGCCCTGTATGTGATATGCCATTTATCTCTGGCTCCTTTAAAGGTATTTCTCCTGATCTTTAGTTTTCAGAAGTTTGACTGTTTTGTGCCCAGTGGTAGTTTCCTTTATGTTTATTGCACTGTCCTGTTTTCTAAACTTCTGTTAGATACACACTTCTGTAAGTGTGTATCATTCACCATATTTGGGAAAATTCCAGCCATTATTTCTTCAAATATTTTTTCTGTCTCATTCCATTTCCTTCTAAGATTCCAACTCCATGTGTATTGGATGTTTGAGATCCTGTGCCAAAGACTCCTGTGTCTCTCTCCGTATTCTTTACCAATCTTCTAATTAATTGGATCACTGTTCTTGATCTATTTTCATATTCGCTGACTCTTTTCTCTATCATCTTATTCTGCTCTAAGCACAGCCAGTGTTTTTCTGATTTTTTTTTTCCTTTATTACAGATGTTGTAACTTTCGATCCTATCATTTCCATTTGGTTCTTTTTTATAGCTTACTTTTCATTCATGAACTATCTTCTTTTTATTATTTGAGATAATATGTTCTTTTACATCACTAAGCAGAGTTATAATACCCATTTTAAAATTCTTATCTTCTAATTGCATATTTGGGTCACTGTGGAAAAGACCTCCACTGAGATTGAGACCGGTTCATATTTTCTTGGTTCTTCGTATGTTGAGTAATCTTAGATTGCATCTTGATGTTGTGTCTGTTATGTTGTGAAGAATCTGTATTCTATTTATACTCCTCTGAAAAATGTTGATTTTTCTTTTTTAAGCTGATAACTAACTTGTAAACTCTATCTCTTGGGCAGCAACTGAAATCTCAGTTCAATTCTTTTTTCCCTCAGCTGGGCTGCTTTGAGTCTCCTCTGAACGTGTGGTTCAGAGTTCTCCAGACAGTAGAGCAGAGTTTATTTACAGAGAAGACTTTCCCTTCTCTGGCCTTTTCCTTACTGGGAATCTCTCTTCATCATCCAGCATCTGTAGTTGCCTGGAACTCTGTACTCTCATTTTTCAGACCAGAAAGATGGTGTTTCTGCTGAAAGTTTTACCCATCCCATGTTGCTGCCAATGCAGTCTGCTGTCAAGCCAAAGATGCAAAAAATGGGAAAATTACAATATGCTATGCTTTCTTTGGGAGCTCTGGTAGCATAGTGGCTAAGACACTTGCCTGCTAACCAGACGGCTGGCGGTTCAAACCCACCAGCCACTCCTCGGAAGGAAGG